TCGACACTCCTACAAACGACCTGTAACCCCAGCTTTTTGTAAAAGGTAAACAAATCTACGATTGGTAAATAAATATTTGTTTAACTACGCTGTCGGCGCCTGAGTTTAGCACCGACATGTTTTATTGCATAAGGTTTTGTAAATTTAATTTTTAATCAAAACACCAATTCTAATAATCTTCAGTTACAAGCTGAATATACTACTTTTTTATTTTGAAATGTTTATTCAACTTGATATCTGATTTACAAAAGGTTTAGCTGTAACCATATAACTCAAAAACCACTCATACAGACTCTTATAAACCTTATATCAATGAAAATCTTGTGAAAAGGGGAATCAAGCAGTGTGAAATATACAGAGTTTCCTTTGAAAACTCTGTGAAATCGTTCATTTTGCGTTCCTGATCACCCTCTATAAACTATTGAAAAAACTGAAAAAGTATGTAGGGAAAAAATATGGGATCCTGAAATTTGTCTAGCAAAAAATTCAGTTCCCTAGATATAATAGTTGAGAAGGTGCGAATTGTCAAAGTTATTTTATTTTCTTCCGATAGATTGTCCAATAATCTTTTAACAACATAAAATCATATATATATTATTTAACAACATATAAATCATAAAATATTTCGCTTGAAAAGACCTATCCAAATCTGCAATAAAATATAGGGCTTTCCATATAAAAAATGTATGCTTGGGTGACCAGGTAGTTATGAATCAGCCTGCAGGCATATATATATTTTCCAAGTAAGGAGCAAGCTGTTGGCTTTTATTTTTTGCTAATTAACCTCTTGAGGTAACGCGCGTAAGAACGGAATTACCGACCGAGTCCACACTAAAAACTCACCCTGTATATATAACATATACGAGCATATATGCAGCGCCATCTACAAGACACTACACTTTTTTTTATTTAGGTACAGTGAATAGAGAAACGCCAGTGACAAATTCATAGGTGACGCTACAATAAGTCATTTTACCTCGTATAATTTTTTGGAGGCGAGAATGTACCATTAGGTTAGATATCTTCAGCTAGAATTCGTTCACCAATTCCTACAACCTCACAATAAATCGCTCCATATTAGATTCGGTGCATTACTGAGATCACGCAGTTGCAACAAATAGACCAAACGAATGGATACGAGTATCATAAATTTGTATCATACAAAAATACACACATCGTAAACTACATAAAAAATATACCAGTCTTCGATCGGCCAATATTGACGATTATATCGAATCTTCTTTTAAACAAGTAAAAATGAAGCTGGCAAAACTATATCACATTTTAAATAAATACAAGCTGCTGGACCCAATCGCAATAACAAATAAGTTTGTGATCAAGTTATTTCTTTGTTTGTTGTTTAATAAATCATAGTAAAAATCCGTTTTATATGAATTCCTCCTATGTATTTCTATAAGAATTGCACTAAGTTACGAAAACTAGTTCATATCCACACGAGTCAAGGTTTTGTAACTATATCTCTACGCATAATGGATATGTGTGGTACTCCTGATATGATAAACCACAAACATTTTTTTCTTATTAACAATAAATCATTCTCATCAGGGATAATTCCTACATATATGTAGACAATAATTAAGTAAATTGTACCTTCACTATGCTTTTATCACCATTGAAAAAAATGTTTTTGCAATGAAGCAGATTAGATATATGAAAAAGAACACGTTTACTTGATATAGCTACTCAGTGTTTAAGAATAAAATACCGCTATCAGAATACAAACGTTCACTCATAGACAGGACTGACTGCAATAATTGTAGATGGGTATACAGATAGACATTTGTGCTTTGGTAATCTCCGGACTTAAGCGTCCTAGACAATTTATTATGGGACAATGTTTTTACTTAAAGCAACTGGGAACTGCCCTAGCGGGAAGCGAAGGATTTCTGGAGTCTGTGCAAAGAATAACATTATGAATATATCCTAGGTCGAGAAGCTATTTTGTACAACTACTGTCAAATAAAGAGACCGGAATGTATAAATAATACAGTTTTTGCTAAAGAATAAAACGTTATGCAAACATCGAACTCTTAGGTATTTCAGTATTGCAATACCAAAATTCCTTAAACCCTTTATTGAAATACATATGCTCTATATGATAATATTGCAGTTTCATCAAGTACCCAAACATTCTGTATGCAATTTCTCTTCAATTGGCTATATTTTTGGTCAACAACCGAGATGACACACAGGATTCGTTAAAAATTTCTTAATTTGGCGGGTTGTGCGTGACCAGCTGATAGCCAGGTGTTGTCGACCACACCTCCTCCGAAAAAACCGGAAAGGTACGCCTCTGCGACGACCGTAGCAGCTGATAAGCAGGTGGAAAATGGCAGCCAGCATCGGCATACCACCAGGTATTACCTACATGTGAGACTCGAGGTATACTTATGCATCAGGCCTTGAATGATCGGAATCGCCCAAAGTGATAATTTCACTAAACTGTCATTAAATGGGGTATTTACCGCCGAAACACGATGGCTTGCGGGGGTATGCAGGGTTTGTTAGCTAATACTTCAAGATGCTCATAAAACAGGAGACATGGAGTGATCACCACTATAAGTATTTGTGTAAATAATTGTAGTGAGTCGCAATAATTAACAGACTGATGCTGAAATTTTGATGTCAAGCAGGTATTTTACAAATTACAAAGAATCAGAATATAATCAGAATTTTAAATGCCAAAAACTAGCTTGGTATCAGCATACTCTCGTGTCAGAGGCGTAGCTACCGCCGTATCAGTGATACATGGCGCCCAGCTTACAGGGACCGCCACGTACGAAAAAAAATGCCTCAAATATATGTCATGGTTTCACGCAAGTTTTTAGGCCGTACATCAGGGTTGTTCTGTTTTAATCAAAATGTTTAAAACAAGTGTTTTAAAAAATGAAGGTGTTTTAAACCAATTTGTTTTAAATTGTTTAACGCATGTTCTAAACACTGTTTTTTATCGTTTGTGAATTAATCATGTTTTTTTAGTAGTATGATTAAAATTATTTAATATGTTTTATTAATTAATCAAACATGAAACTAGGGAACGAATACTAGTGGAAAAAAATCTGTTTTTTAACGAACGAGTGACCTTAATAAACTGCATTGAACTCTAATACTAGTACACTACAAGCAGCAGAATAATCATATAATATGACTCTGTATTTTCTTGTATAATAACATTGAATAAGTTACTTATCAAATTTCTATAAAAGTATACAACCCATCTTATTTAACAAAAAATCGAAAAATCCTTAAATCCATATTTTTAAAATATAAAATCATGGAAAATGTACAGAGAATAAATTTTTAGTTTTCACTACTTTTTACGGAACTCCCAAGTAAAAAAATGTACCTCTTTCACAATTCGCCATGCTACTTAACTTTGAGGAAATAGGTTCAGTAGAAGCATCATCATTGTCGGTATCGGAACTATCTGATATATGAATATTCTGTTTTTCTAACAAGTCCCTTGTTAAAGTTGTTTACAGTTTTTAATATGCTTGCGCATTCTAGCCACCAGTGGCACAATAAAGGTATTGCAGGTTAGACATTTTGCTCTTTTATTTATTTTCGAGCCAGCTTTGGCATCAATCTCCTTAAAATATTGCAACACGGGATCCTTTCTCATCCCTGTCATTGCCTTTCTTTTTTTGCCGATCTTTAATGCGCAATAAACAAAACACACCACCACGCTACGACTTCGCACGGTTGACTGCTGGAGATCCCAACGCGAAAAATCACCCAAAGGCAAACGGTACTTCCCCGACGTCCGCACGGAAGTTTCCTGGCGTCCGCTTTTAAATTAGAGATGTGCTTTGATAGAGCTGGATCAAAAGTAGTAATAATTACACTATCAAGGAACTTCATTTTTTTTACTGTTTTAAACATGTATTTACAGTGTTTTAAACGTTTTTTTTCAGCTAAATTTGAATGTTTTAAACAAAAAAACAGTTTTAAACAAAAAACAAGTTTTTTTAAACCATGCCGTACATTAAATTAAAGATTCTCAAGCGCTAAACGTCAGATTCTGTATGGCTAGGTGATAGCAGGTAGCAAACTTATGTTCAATCCTCTAAAACATGTGAAAAAAGCTTTTCGAAATTATAAATAATAAAAACAGTTTAGGCCTTCTAGAGGTAACTTTGACTTCAAGCATGGTACTGTCTTCACAGGCTGAAAATATCGAAACACTAAAATCGTGTTCCGCTATAGATAGGTTTAAAAAAATAGTAGGAAGTACATTGGCTCGGTACTTCCCAAGCAGTACGCGTATTTACAAGTTTTGATTCAACTCAACTACAGTGAAGAATCAGTCTGTGTTCAAACAAATTATGTTCATACAGAAGTAACATGAGAGCTTTTCATAAAGCTCCTCCTCACACTTTTTTTTTGAATGGTGAACAAAGTTTGGCGTGATGGATGCCTTATCAGTACTACAGACTGGCTGCCTATCAAAGTTAAACGTTTTTGTAGACTGAATCACTAATTCAATAACTATTCATAACAATGCTATAGTGTATCAATCATCTTTTTGAAGAGTCTATCTGAATATGCAAAATAGAACGAGGACTAGCTCTGCCCTATATATTTTGAACTCTGATGCTTTTAAAATTTAAAATAGCATATGTCTCCGATTTTTCCTCAGTATAAGGACAAATGTTTTGGAACAAAATACATTTTTTTTTTAAATTGTGTGGATAATTTTGCTTGAAATATCTTCCTTTCTGGACATGTTAAACAAAAAGCATCTCATGTAGAAATGCATCTTTGGGCAGAAGTTACTTCAGTATCAATAAATCAATATTCATAATCATATTTAGATAAAAAACAAAAAATCGATAATTTTCCCCATTCATTTCCCTCGCATAAACGTAGGGGGTAAAAATGATTTGGGAAGGAAATAATTCTTAAAGGAACAGTTTATAAAAATATTTCATACGCCTGATGTGTTAAAACGAATTTTAATTAGTATATAAATTACTTAGGTATATTTGATTTAGCATCCACATTAATAAAACGTCTTAAATAGAAATGTAAAACATATATTCTGAGATATAGAAGTTGGATTTTCCATTCATATATCAAACAAATCAAAATGAATTCTAACAATTTTGAAATCAAGCAGGAAATACATCTGATTCCATCTTCTCCACATACCATGTGACATTGAAACCAATATAATTACAGCTTAGAATATTAGCACTTTGTTCAGTTTGACAGTAAATTTTGTTTGCAGTATCCTTAAAAATTGCATAATAAGCCAGAAGTAATATAAATATAATACTTGAATAATGTAACTCTGCATATAATGAAGAGCACTGGAATTATATATGTCTAAATCATTTCAGTCCTCCAGGGAAGCTATGACCTTGAGTAGTTTGCATTGATGTAGTGATAGAGCACCACAAGCAGGAATAGGACAATTCCTAGGGCATTTGACATAATTGCCAGATGAACATCAGTAATCATCCTGCAAAAAATTATAATTAGTGATAATTGATAGGAAGTCATTTTGTATGTTTTCTCTACATGACTTCCAGCAACAACTGCAATGAATTTGTATTTTTTTTTAATTTTGATCATTGCTCAGGCAAACCATACAAGGGTGTATTGCGGCAGAACAAATAGATTTGAACAAAAAATTGTGACCTAAACTGACTAATTTTAAAAATTAATGATCATTATTTTTGGACTAATCTGTTTGAAAAAAACTCTTAATGCCCATAACGTGCATATGAGTACTGAAAACAATAATATTGTAAAATTAGATAAAATTGCCCTACAACTTTTGAGCATTTAAATAAAATTGTGTGGACTTTGCTCGACCACTGATACTCAATCACTTCACATCATTTTACTATGCCTTTTATGTCTCCAAGGAGTCACTAATTATAGACACATAAATTAAATGTTGGCTTTCATGTATTTTGGTGCTAGAAATGCAGATAACATTTTTGCAGAACAAATGAAGAAAGTTGTGAGATTTTGATCACCTACTTATGTTTTTGGTGAGAACATACTTATGCAAAATCTATGTAGCTTTAGTGGTAGGACCTATATTAGGCCTTTGCTATTGGTGTGAGGTTTGAGAGCAGGTTTATAAGATAAAATCTGCTGAGGATCAAAATTTACATACAGATAAATTGGAAACTTCTCTAAATAAAGAAATGAAGCAATTATAACACGCGCATTCCAAGAAAAGAAACATTTCAGGCCCAACAAATGTACCGGAAAATAAACATGAACATAAATGTAGTGAGTGCATTTCCTATTTTTGTGGAGACTAAAGGGTTTCATTAAGTACTGGAAAACTAATATATCATAATGAATCAGTACTTTACCTTTTTGAAGCTAAAGATCCTTATTTACCAAAAAAAATACGTGGCCAAAACTTGAAGCACCTAACCTTAGTTTCTACTGTTTCTAGTAACTTGACGTATGAAAACGCCCGTCATCTATTGGTGTGAATCCGAAACAATTTGGAAACAATCTTGTATAATAGTTACTAATGTAATAGTGAACTGTAGTGAAATAGTAATGTAGCTAACAGCCTTCGCAACGCTACTCATAGAGGTCGCCACCAAGACCATCATGGAACAAAGTACAGTGGTATGGAGTAATAGGAAAATATAGGGTTTGATAGACAACACAATATCAGTTTTTCTCATCATTCTAGATATCTCCGAAGTTGTTCAATAGAAATAGATACATTTCAAAATACAACTGACGCATATACAGTTGTATACACACCGATGTTCACAGCACTTAGATGGTTGATTCAAATTTCAAAATGACAAAACCCGGACTCCTTGCATTGAACGTCGCCAAGCTCATTTGAAGTACAAGTTTTCTAGAACGGAAACCCTTATTTTTGACCCGGGAAATAAAAGCAAGAAATTTTATAGCCTATTTCACAAGTATCCATCACGCTTTGTCGCCGATACTGAGGCTAACAGCTAATCAGCACCATTCTTATTTATTATATAATATATTGTTTGTAGCGTTTTGTTTTTTGTATGTAATTTAACTTTTCTAAATAAAAGAGCTTTTAGCAAGCTCAAAATGAATATGTAGTAAACAAAAAACAAAATACGGCTCTGTCTACCTGGCATTGACGGATCCGTCAGAATTCTGTCCTTTGCGGATATGGGGAATTTTGAAATATTACTAGACAATCAGCTGTCATTCTACCAGTCTACCGTAATGGATTTCTATACTCGTAAAAAAAGACTATAGAACGTATGTCCATAACCATGACCATTAAGGTCATTTAAAGATCAAATCAATTTTTAAGGGGAAACATCTGTTTTCAATTCCTGAATCCTGAAACGCAAAATGCGAAAAGTATTAACTTCAAGTAGGAATATCCTTTGCAGTCAAACTGTCCATGATCGTCGAGATCATTTTAAGATCAGATGAATTTTCAAATACACTCACTCCTCTTACTTTTGTCAAATAGATAACTATTGTATTATTTTGAATAATGCACTTCTCTCTCTGAAACCAATCTCCTTCACACCTCCTTCAAAACTGTAATTTCACTATTTCGCGAGCGGAACCACCTGTTTAGTAGATATAAATTAGTATACATAATAGGTATAGTCCATCTAACCACATCTAACGAAGAAAGAAGATAAACCTTGACATATTTATATTGAGGCATATTTCAAGTGATCCAGCTCCAGAACGAACGCCGGCGGCCCGCCAAGTTCCATACGGTGTTGTCTCTTTTTCTCTTTCGACTGGCTTGCCTTTAGACCTGTAGGTTTTTCGGCTCGGCCGATTCTGCCCTAAAACGATATTGCTATTTTTGAGATATAATTCAGGCTTAGATATGTTCCGTTGGTAGATTCAACTCATTTGTTTTATAGTTTTTATTATTTGGTAATTTTGATATATTGATAAAGAGAATCCGACCTCATCTGATCCTACTGCGGACGAAAGCAAAATCAAGCGCATGCCTCCAAATAAATGGCTGAAACTTTGGCAACGTCGATGGAAGGGACAAATAAAAAAAATAGGTACATTTTTAAAATAAGATTTTATTTAGCAAATAATAAAACGAACTAACACTGTGATGAAGCTTTAAAAATGATTCTTTCCAATAGAAAATATTTGAATGATAGCCAGCAATATGGACTACCACCCACGGAAAAGTTGCCCATATTTGTCAAATTTTAGTGATTATGATGTCATCAAAAGTTGAATAATCTTGATGATTAAATCCTTTGTCAGAAATTAGTAATCATCAAGTAGCAGCGAATGGGTTTACTAAGTATATATTGTGACAAATAGCGCCATCTGTTGGGCGAGTCTCCTACTCGCCAGAGCTTAATTGTCGATCTCTGCTTTTACGCGAACCACGGCGCACAAGTGTGACAGTGGATCGCCTTCTAGATCGACGCGAAGTGATATCCAACATTCTAGATGTCGCTTTGTGGTACGCCCGGTTTTTTTTCTCGAAGCTGTAATGGGGACTATATATAACTCGGCGGCCGGCAGATGGAGGCAGAGTACGAAATACGGTAGAGTAGCAGAGCGGAGAGAAGTATAGTGCAGTTAATGGTGACATAAGACATAGACAATTTCTTTAGTGCATTTCTTTTTGTGGAATCCAGCGTTTTAATCCACATCCTAAAGAACCCAGAAAAACGCTACATTAGTGTCAGAAATGGGATGTGGATTATTGGACATTTAGTGAAAATAAATCGGACGATCAGTGAAGCATGGCCACGGCCCCGCTCAGTAGGGTTCTTGGACATATGCGAATCGTCTAGTAAAACAAACTATGTGTATAATGTATATTGAGATGTGGTTACTATGCAATCCTCTCGTCATTCTGTCTGAATTGTGTCAATGTTAAGTATAAAGATTTTTGCAAAGATACATATGTAACACTTTACTACAGTATGATAACCCGCTATAGAATCTATGTGAAAATAGCTTTGTACTTTGTTTTCAGTCGATGCATAAATTGGAGAGATGTATTATTCTATGTCTTATACAATTTGTGGTCGATCTAGGAGGGCTTTACTAACACTACTGAGCTTTGACAACTGCGAACGTTTACAAAAACGCAAACAATTGTTTGTTTAAAGACACAGAATTTTACGAAACGGCGAGAACAACAGAAAAAAGTCGAACCAAGTATGCTGACAAACTGATCAAATACGGCTCAGAGATATTTTAGCTGCACAGACATTCTAAGCATTGTTAGCAACCTATATATCTACTATGGCCCGAAATATTAGAGAGAAGAAAAACGTCAGATAACAAATTTTGTCATTTTTAAGGTGTTGACCCCCCCCCCCCCATGAACTTACTTACGTCGAGAAATAATCTGCAACTCCCAAAATATTCAAGAAATTAAGATTTTTGACGCACCAAACTTTCCCTAATTACTTGCTCTTGCACCACCACTGGTGAAATCATTTAAGGAATTTTGTCATAGCAGTAACTTTCTGTAGGTAAAGATTACACTAAAATCCCAGCAGTAGCTTCCGATAGTAGCAATAGGAGCAGATGAGGACCTCATATTATTATGAAGGGTGTAAAACAACATTGCTTTCGAGATACTTCGTCCCTGGTGGTCAAAATAAGTTTATTGCCTTCCATAGACACCATCACGTGAAGTCTTAATTGGTTACATTGTTATCAGAATTTAGTTGTATTGTGCAGTACAATTGGAAAGCTATTCAAAAAACGAATCTTGAATGAGCTCCCTTCGAGGTCTACATCTCTAAGACGAAGCGATACTTCCAAAATCTCCAACGTTTTTCTCAATAAATGTCATATCTAAGACCATCACAGTAACTATATTCTCATACATGAACAGAAGGAACCAACATTTATGTTTCATATGATCTATACACATATTACATTTCTCCACATTAATTAAAATAAATCCTAATTATTAAGTACAACTAATACATATCACATGTTAGATAGAGCTTCAAGGAAATATAGTCTTTCATTGAAAAAATGTCACTTATAATTTATCACTCCACTGTTTTTTGTCCTTACAAACTTCAGTGGTAGGTGCTCCTGATCCTCAGCACTAAGGTGAATTGGGTTACTTAGATCTACACTAAACCTAGTTGCCTTGTCTCTTCCTAGCTCCCCTGTAAGCAAGATAAAAACATGATGTAAGGAAGAACACATTTAACAAACGACAGCGGCAAAGCAATTTATGTCAGGGACTAAGTCCAGCCATTGTTGATTTCAGATCGGTGTACAGGACCTTAGCCGTGGCGTCAATGTATTAAGTTATAGTCAGGTCTGATAATCCAGAAACCAGACATTGTTAAAGAAAGAAGCAAAAAGGAAAGAAAAACAGGGCAGGACAAACAGGATGAAGGGAATCTTTTAGTTTATGATGCAGTTAGGAACTATTGAAATGATTCAAAATTGGTATGATCTAAAAGGCTTCACTTTATTCTATTTTTTTGGCAATATTTTAATGTTGGTGGTTCCAAGCTCGAGTTACAATTCTTGCTTTCAGCGCGAGCCGGTGCACTAAGTGCTTGCCAACTTGCTCATTTATGTAGTCGACCAAAGGCACCCAAACTGATGTCAAAAGCAGAAGGAAAAATTTTCTTCGTGGAGTAGTATCGACTAATAAAACTCACGTGCACTTAATTTTTTTTTTCTTTTTATAGGTAGGCTCATTATGGTTGAAAATATAGATATCATAACGCAAACCCTTAAGGTGGCTACACTGCACGCTTGTCCAGCATGCTTATTCAATCTCTTTGTACAAGTATGCACAATTTGCCTTTGTCACCACACGTAGGTGTACAAGCATGCTTGATAACAATAGAGGTAGTTTAATAAAATATGTCGAGCTTGGACGTCTATGCGCTTACTTTGGCCGCTTTTGTTGTTGTAAAGAAAAGAAAATCCCAAATAATAAAGCATACGGAGTGGTGAAAACGATGGTTGGTGTAAAGGAAAACCTATTCTCACATTAACTTACTAAGTGAGCTGAAAAAATATCCACGTGACTGGCACAATTAGCCTAGAATGGATAAAGATACGTATTTAAACCTTTTGTCCCTTGTATCGCCTTTGATTCAAAAGCAGAATACGATCATCAACGGACGCCAACTTGTGCACACTTGAAAATCTTGGGTACACACGTACGTGAATACTATGTTATGTAGAGGCTTACTTGTAATAATCAGAGTGTATTGTATTTAGACTAGCATGATAAATAGATCAGGCTTGACGGGATTGTGGAGCGAATAGTCGTAACCTCAGTCCTTGATCAAATCTGATACTTTGAAAAGAATTCTTAAGGCTAATCACTGGCTTCAGCTAGAATGTTTCTATAGAAGTGGAATTAAAAATAATTGAAGCACGCATCTACCCGGCACTAAATTACGGACATACTGCTGTGTTCTTACGCATAAGTAAAAGTGGAGCTCTTATATTAGAGATATGCTTTAAGAAGGTATATAAAAGAGCTAGGTAGCTCCCCTAATGCATGTCAGTTGATATACAGTTGCTACAAAAGGACAGTGGAACAACACGCCTGGATCAGGCGCATAAGAGATTTCTTAAAAACACAGGGGAAGACAAATCAGTGAAGCGGATTCTTAACAAAGTAGACCATCCAATCAGCTACCCAGGCCTGCGATGTCAAACACAGCCTCAAACATTCAAATTTCCTGTGCACGATATCTCATAATGGTAATAATACTTTGAAAAAAGTTTTATCCTACGTCCCTTATCCCCCTCCTCGCATTTCACCCCTTTCCTAAGAAGTACATATTTCGAATACATAAAAAAGCAATATTTTTTCTTTTTTAGCGTTTATATATAGGGTGTAAAGTTAGTAGTGGATCAACGGAAGTCAGGTGATAGAGGGCCTCAAAACATATCGAATGAACCCCTATATGTGTGGTCAGAAATTTTATAGTTCAGGAGTTATTTGCAATTTTGTGATTTTTCGAAAACAACGGGATAATGAACTTTCAATCGCAATTACAACTAAATTATTATGTTTAGGGCTGTGATTTTTTTTCTGAGATGAGCTAAATGGTTAGTCTTAGCAATGGTTAAGTCACTCTTTAACAGACCTTATTAGAAATCAACGCAAATTACATAAATTTCACTTTTTGTGAAAAATCTCTTCCATCCCTCAACTTTGGAGGACGTTAAAAAAATTTGGTTGTATTTTATTACTCATTTTATTGTAAAAACTATTTCAATCCATTTAGAATAAATCCTGAAAATTTCAGCTTGCTACGACGAGTGTATCATGTCACATTCGTTGTTGTAATGCGATAAACATAAGAAACGCAATCGAATCCTTACCACCCACAAGTACAGAACCTATTGAGTTTAGCCGCTCTTTATGGCGAATTACCGACAAATGTGGAGGATAATTTAATTTAACTAATTTTTAAACATGTTCGAAATGGCCTCTATTATTTTCTGTACACATTGCCTTTTAGTCTTTGAAATGAATTTGCGTTTTCCATAATTTTTATTTTTGCTCCATCAATATTCTGCCACAATTGGTTAACATTTGTATATTCAGAAGTATAGATTATACCCTTATAGAAACCTCATATAAAGAAATCTAGAGGATTTAAATCGGGTGACCTTGGCGGCCATCGTATGTGTCTATCTCTACCTATCAAATGCCCAGGAAAGACTATATCTAAGTAATGCCGTACATCCCGTACAAAGTCGCACCATCGTATTGAAAATACATGCGGCTTCGAACGCCCAAAGGTACAAAAATCTGCAATCGAAGTTGCACATACCTCCTTCATCTTCTGGCCTCCCAAAATACTGAACTGCAACGTGGCATTAGCGCCTAAGGTGGTTGAGCAAGTAGTGGCGAAATGATATGGACTATAGAAGAGTAGCGTCACTCCGTCGTTGAAACAGTTTTTGGCGAGGTGTCTGAAATTACATTGTGGTATACCAAATCCTACATGCAGTTAAGCTGTGATGTCTGTGATATAGCAGCTAGTCAGGAGGAAGGTAAACATCCAGGAATGAAGGTCACCTGAAGGTAGTTGACCGCAAAACACCGGATTGTTTTACGCGTTGCGAAACTAGCAGGAAGTGGGGTGCTAATATTTCGATGCTCCGCTAATGATGTAAAGGCGACTATTGCTATTCTAACATATTTGGAATTTGAGACATCGTCGCTTAAGTTGTAACACCACTAAACGCAAAGAATAACTTATGTCTTTGCTTAAAAAAGCCACCGTGAATGCCGGAATGTCATCAGTAGGCACTATTAGCTTATGAGGTTTCATTTGCGACTAGACAAACATGGAGGATTATAAGATCATTCGATAGCGACTCCAGGGGCCCACCGTTCTTTTATGCTCTCCTAAAAAGTTGTTAGTTTAAAGTTACATCGTGCTGGAACTCTTTATTGAACAACTAAATTTTTGTGATTCATGACTGGGTAGTACCAAAATGAAGAAAATATGATACAAATTTGTTATTTAGTTTTGCATTCTACGTCAATGATTATTGCCAAACAATTCCAAAGTAGATCGTTCAAGTATATTGCGAGAAAATAGATGTGATGTTCCATTTCTTTATTTAATTTTATACTCTTCAGTCTACATTATTCATGTTCCCTGAAAAATAAATACGAACATACAAAAAACAAAGTGATTGTGATTGCACACAGTTTGGAAAATCTGCTTTCTTTTCTGGTTACTAAGTTTAGCGCTCTTACACTAATTTTCAAACTTGTGACCGAACAATAATCCAGTCCAACCTCTGTTAGAATCAGTATAGTAGTTACTCATATTGTACAATGTCAAGGAAACCAGAACGACAGGTGGGTTATCGCCAATGGGTGGAACGCTAAAGCACTCTATTTTACAAGCCTATTTTCCAGAAAATGCTATTTATCATATATCGTCTAGACAGAAAAAATGAATGTACATCCTCTAGCAGCTCATACAAACTGCTTTTTAGAAAAGCAAGATATGACTGACCATTCAACCTAGCGGGCAATTCATATGGTCCAATTAATCTTCTGTTGAGTACTCCAGCCCATAAATTAACGCCGAACGGACGTTGAAAGCTGTGTTGGCGAATAGCGTGTGGATTTTCCACGCTCCATGAATGGAAATTATGCATGTTGAATATTCTATTTCGGTTATAGTTGGATTCATCTGTCCATATGATGCTTCCGAAAAAAGTTTTATCCTCTTCGCACTTTCTCAACATATTCTTACAAAATTCAACCCGTTGTGCATAGTCGCTTGGAAGCAATTCGTGTACTTTTTGTACATGGTAAGGATGCATGTTCTCCGGAGCGTAGTATTGTATGCACTGAAGTATGGGATATGTTTCTGCTTCGGGCAATGGCTCTGGTACTTATAGACGGATCTCGCTCGGCTGCTTCTATTATATCTTCTATTCATTCTGGGCGTATCCTCGGCGCTCCTAGCTGACGATGAGTGCCTAGTATGCCGCCCTCCATATATAGCACTTTGGACGCGTAGAAAACCACGGTGGTCGGGATATACCGCCGGTCCACCTGTTCTAACTACATACTCCCGATACAAACCTGCGAGCAGCTGCTCCTAGGGCAGCACCATAATAGTAATGCATTTCTGCATAATCTCGCGGAGAATATGACATGATTCTACTCAGATGCTATACGTTAGATACAGACCGAAGATTGAACGCTCCGGCATCTGGAATGCTGAGTTGAATACCCAAGATCGTCAAGCTGATTTGGCTATTTTCGTAAAAAATCTGCCATTTTGAGTTTACAAAATGTTAATACACACAGCATCTCTCGCACTGCTGAGACGAATCTAGCAGTACCTTATATGTCAAAATCCATCAAGTCGTTTCGACTGTAGCTCGTAGAATAGAATTTCTTGTTTACATATATACCCACCTGCGTCAAACATAGAGATTTTTTAAGGTGAGGCACTTATCGTAGCAAGCTGAAAAACATGGATTGAAATAGTTTTTACTATAAAATGAATAATTAAATACAACCTCAATTTTTTGTACCGCCCTCCAGAGTTGAGGGATGGAAGAGATTTTTCACAAAAAAATGAGTTTAATATTTTTTGCGTTGATTTCTAATAAGCTCTGTTAAAATGTGACATAAAACTAACCATTTAACTCATTTCAGAAAAAGAAACACAGACCTGAACCTAATAGTTTAGTTGTAATTGCGATTGAAAGTTCATTATCCCGTTTTTATTTTTCGTAATTTCACAAAATTGCAAATATCTCCTGAACTATAAAATTTCGGACGACACACATAGGGGTTCATTCGATAGGTTTTATCACCTTACTTCCGTTGATCCACTACTAACTGCATCATATGTAATACTTCATGTTGGATGTGTTCGAAATCTTCTCCAAAGGGTAAAAATTGCATATACAATATTAAGCTCCATGCAACCGAAACAGATATAAAATTTGCTTGTTTCTCTATCTTGTCACTTGGCATGTTTTTACAAAACTGTTTTAGTATTTCGAGCTTGTTGTTTTTTACTGTTTTATGTGCACCAAAAATTTGTACAGTTACGTGGGTAGTCACTATGTTAAGTATAAGTTGTGTGTGTAGCAGTCAACATACTTATTAGCAGCCTACGTATTCACCCAAACCAAAAATGTACCCGATTATGTGCTGAAAAAAACAGCAATTAACGTCGATTTTCCGCCTTTGATATTCCTATCCTATTTTATCATAAAAATTGATCGTAATGGTAGAAGATTAAGTTATTTAAAATAAGTGTACCTGCAAGCGTCCTATTCAGTCCTGCAACAATATCGTCCAATACCGTTTGATTTAGCTTGGCTCTTATTCTGACAGTCTCATTATTCTGGAGTGATCTTTTCGTTCGTGAGAGCAGAGGCAGGGTGAATTCACTTTCAGAAAGTGGTGTATCGTCCGACCCGAATTCCTGAAAATGACAGACTTCTCACTTTTAACATGGCAAGAGGTATATATCTCCCCATCCAAAAAATGTACTGAGACTTTAACCCTGTGAAACAAATTATCGCTCAGATCTTTTTAAACCCTTCATTCTACGTAGCCAAAGTCGTATAGTCATTTAGCGCAAATTCATGTGTCATTCCATCACTTTACTGATGCACTTCAAAAATCATATATAAGAACATTTCGCAATGGTCTCCTTTTAAAAGGAGGAAATAAGAAAGCCCTGCATTTAACAAAAATGCAATAAGAAGGCCTCAAATAAAAGGCTCAGGGCTTGGTATTCAGCGGTATGTTTTCGTAATCTTGTAGAAGAATTAACTGTCAAAATTTCTGGTAGGTATCTTTCAGTATCACTGAATACATTTTCAATAAACACGTTATTTCATTAAGTAATTTTTGACAATATGAACTGTTACTGCACTACTACTTACTAAGCATTTCCCGCTGATACAGTAAGCCTTCTTATCTGAGTTTCCTTTGGAGCAGTCGGTTCCGAATGGAAACCACCCATCCTCTCCATTGACTAGGTAGAATCTATGAGAAATTGTGTCATCCTGGCAAGCTATCCTGCATGGTCTGTCAGGATCCTCTGAAAATAGTAAATGAGAAATACCCATAAATATTATATAACGGCTACAATTTTATTCAAATATTTCTAGGACTTACCAACTGCTGGAGATATCTGCATCCCTAATCCAGAAAGTCTTCTTACTCTCTCTTTGTATTTTGTGCAAACCATTGAAGCATGCTGGAATGGCGATTTCACCTTGGTGCAACCCTAAAATAGAGAGTGTTGGTACTTTATTATAGTCAACATAGTCTTCAAAATAACGAAAATAAAAATAGCAGCAGCTATTTGTTTGATCCGTTAAGATCTCATTTAGCGTTTAATAGCCCAGTTATCATGTGACAACTAGATGACGATTCTGGCTGTATACTCATAGTACATGTGGTCTACTTGCCATTGAATAAACTAAGCACGGTGCAAGAGAGCCATCAAATGACGAGATCGGCGTCAATTTGAAAATGTTTCTCAAATATATTTAACAAAATGGGAAACGATTTTTAGAAATTCTGTTTTCCCGTATGTTTTTTTCAACTGGAGTGCCATTTCGGAAATTTCAAGCCACGGCAACTAAAGGCAGCAGCGGTGGCTGCAGTAGTAGGTAGACTCTTCGGTCTCCTGATCAGTCGCCGTGCGCTGTGCGGGTTTGAGTCCCGTCCCAGGAGAAATTTTACACTTGGCTATGGATGTTGTGATTGTCCGTAGGTGGTAGACGGTCTCTGACTGTCGAACGTGGAGGTACCACCCGGCGGATCTCGTAGGCGGAGCCAGAATGTGTGCATGTTGCATGCACACGTGTTCCCTTGCCAGAGTCCGTGTGGCGTTCCCCCTTTCCCCTGTATCCCCATATAGCCCCACGGTACCCAATGGGTGTTTAGGCCTTAGGCCTTCGTGGTAGTTGGAGTATAAAAAAAATTTCGTCCCACCGACTCCGGGTTGTCAATAATACGAGCCGAATACCTGGCATGCGAAGTGAGACTTAGAACCAGGTGCCAGAGAGAGCAGTACTAATTTGTTTCAAAATGAGATCCCTTCATACGGTCCTTCTTTCTGGAGTGGAAGCACCCTGATTCATATAAACTCATATTAACGACCTCATAAGAAATATACTTACAAACTTTTCTGGTTTGCACAACTGTATGCTCGCTCCTCCGCCAGCTTTGTTTGACACCAATCTGACGCCGGTCCCTGGTGCCACGCAGTTGTAATGGCATCCGCTAGCACTTTTCCACCTGACGGCGCCTTCTCTCCTCCTAAGGCCGGTCCTGCGTGCAGCTGTCACTTCGTTGTCCTCCCTTTCGTTAGGACAGTGGTCGGAGGACAAAGCGAAGGTTGACTCTGAGTGGGAGTCACATGTGAAATCTTCACAACGACCTGTTTGAAATATTGTGGATAGATTCGATTTGATTACCTATTAAAGCTTGTATTATTGTATCACAGGACTAAAGCTACTGGGATAAATGTGGATCAATTATAACCCCATGCGTAAAGGCTGCCTAAAGCTCTGTGTCCTTCAGTGTGAATCTGTGCTCATAGTTTGTTGACACAAGCTTTGCATGTAGCATTATTCTTTTCGGTGTGCCTCTTATGCAAGTTCAAGAGCCTGGTACAGTTTAGTTAACAGTATCTTGTGTTGGCAAATTCACCATAGCCCATACGGTAATTCTGTTAAATCAGTAATCTGTAAACTCTAGCTGGCGTATTTTTATGAATCCTTTTATTTGTTCCCCCTCTGAGTCTTGATTATCATACGGATATCTCAGTTAAAGCCTGCCATGCACGCTAATAATTACCAGAGACGAGTCTTCCTTAGACTCAGTGCGTATGATCAACTCACATGCAGGTAAAAATGGTCACATTCTGACAATAATCATTTATTTTCGTAAGTGTGTATCAGTTTTGACATATATATGGCAAGAGAGACCGAGACAGATAGAGTCATCAGACTTGCTATCACATCATCTTATGGCATTTTGCAGGAAACTGGGTTTTCAAGAAAAACAATTTTTGTTGACAAAAAAGTGATAAGAAAAAAGTAAGAAAAAATGTTAATGAAACTGCATCACTATGGCTTTGAAGGATCAGTATTAAACATTTTACAAAATTATTTAGTAAATATATAGAAGTCAAAAAACTTAATTTGGAAATATTATGCGAAGCGCTCAAAATATATCACTAGGGGTTCCACAGGGGAGTAAATTATGGCCGTTACTATTTATTACTTATATAAACGATATCTCTGACATTTTAGAGCACTTCAAAATTCAAATATCTGCGGACGATGCATTGATATATACAGGGTGAATCCGAAGTTGAGTCATTTATTTTAACAGTGAGTAGATCTGATCAAAAGAAACGTTTTTTTCCTTTAACATTTTTCTGGTAAAATTAAAGTAACAAAGTTATAGCCCTTTGGAAGTTTGAGTACCGCCCTGTCTCAATAATAATATTATGTGCTCGTGTTTGGCGACAACGGATATAATTCGCCTTATCGGTTCATCGCATCGGAAACAAAAAAGCGAAAGAATTTGGAACGATGTTTTTACAATTATTTCATTCAGTTGTATACAGTCAGTGTCAGTCGGTAGTGGATAGTGGTGTCTGTTGCGTGGCTCAAACGAAATAAAAAATGGCACATGTTTATGCGGATCGGTTTCCCAATCGAGTGCAACCAACCCCTCGTGCCTTTGTTAATGTAGTTCAACGGGTTCGTGAATCATTTGACTTAAGACCTCACATATGGACGGCATGCCGGTGCTCCAAGACCTCATGATCAAATACAGGTCCGCACTGAAATACTTGTCGGGAGGATACTTTATAAAACAAGGTAACATTTTTTTTAATTTTTACACACATATTTTGGTTTATCTTCCTTCTACAATCATTATCTGAAAATTAATGACTCAACTTCAAAGTCACCCTGTATAGCACATAAGCACTTCGACACTGCTTTAGAACTGTTAAATAGTTATATTAAAAAAAATGAGTTGGTTAAAGGTCAATAAACTTAAATTAAATGCTACTAAAACAAAATGTATGGTGATAATACAATTAGGCTCATGATTAATGATGAACAAATTGAAGAGGTTGAATCATTTAAATATCTTGGTATATATTAGAAGATAGTAAAGTACTGTTTCACGAGCATTATGAATACATTATCTCAAAAATATAAAAATAAATAAATTTCTTCTATAGAGTTTCCCATAATCTTAGTATGTGTTAAAAAAAAAATGTGTAAAACACTATAATTCTTCCCCATTTTTTATATTGTCCAACCATCTTGTTTACAGCAAATGAAAACATATTTTCAAGATTACAAATTCTACAAAATAAAGCTATGAGAATCATTTTAAATAAAAACGAATATGCTAGGAATAAGTCTATGATGAATGTGAAAAAGTTCAAGTTATTTAGTTCCCCTTTTCATATTCAAATTGAAAAATCATTTATTACCACCATATTTAGAAAACTTCACAAAATTAAATCACAACTACTAAACTAGAGGCAATATAGATTTTCAATAGTGAAATTTTAATAGTAGCATAACTAGTAAATCTATATTTCAGAAGGTAGTATTTGAACATAATAAATTGAATAATGATATTAAACAGTATTCGAATTTAAAAATATGTTTAAGGTGAAATTAAAAAATGACGTAATTTTAATAGACAAGAATGTAAAATTACAGAAAATCGATTGAAGAAAAATATGTAAACGAATAATTACATAAAATTAACATTGTAGCATTAATGCTAAATAAATATTCAGTAAACATAAAACCTTAATCTACTGTAAATGAGGAATGTTCTCATCCGATTCCAGACCGGTAAAATTATTTGTCAACAAGTTGTAATTGTAGGAAACATGTATAAAAATGCATTTTTTGACAAAAAAAACAAAAAAAAAACAGTAGCGCTTTTCAGTTATCTCTATACGCATAAAATAATCAGACAAAAAGTATTATGAATACTCCTTCAAAAATACAAATACTGTTAAAAAAGAGATGTACGACGTTAGCCTTCACTTTGACGTCACATATGAAGGTTTTGTCCAAATAAGATGATTAAGTTTTTTAAACAGCGCGGAAAATTTGATGGTTGTTTTCAAGAAATTCTGCTCTACCTATACTTCCTTGAATACTCCGTGTATATGCATAATGCTTGCTTTCTATGGTATATCTTCAATATTACCTTTAATACAGTAGCTGACTTTTCCATATCTATTCCTTCTAGTTTGGCACGCAGTTCCATCTGGAAATGACCAGCCACGGCTTTTGGTTCCACCTTGTCGTTTTTGGCACCATACTAAGCACGCTTCTTCAGCTGTAAATACATTTATAGTTTTAATTACACGTTCCATTTTATCATTTCTTTAGGGGTATTTTCGTACCACTTCAATTTGGTATATTTTTTTAAGCTAGACTTACCGTCGGAACTAATCTTTTGCATGCCCAGCCCAGTTAAATCTTTATCAACATCGCTTGCTCTGTTACATATTTGATCAGCAAATTCTCTGATAGTAAGGCGTGGAACATTCGCACATTGCTGAGCATTGCATGTTGAATATCGTGTTGGAGTCCCTTCGCATTCTGATCCACCACCGTCTTGCCTGAAAATAGTTGAATTTAGGTGTATCGGATCAAGGTTTTGATGAACATTTAGGGAAAACAGTTACTTGAGCGATTGATCAACTTGTTGCACCTAGGTGGAATATGTTAATCAACGCAACAGGAGTAACACTACCCTTTGAAGGTCCTGTCCATCTAATGTCTTATAGGTACATCCCAAGAATGTACCAGAGGGAGGCATTTAGGACATTACTGACTTGATAACTATTCGAATACTTCAATTAAATATTATTATATCGTTAAATACGATACTCCGTCTTGATGAAGATATATGAGTAGTTTATGTTGAAATGTAAAGTAAATGCGTACTTGCACTTTTATTAATACGCCTAGTAGTACGATTATAAGAATAAGACCAAGTAAATGTTGTATATAGTCATTTTGCTTAGGCGTTTGACAGGTTGGATCATGTAGTTCTTATAAACAAACTTAAAAATTATGGCTTAGATCGTGCAGCTTTACTATTTATTGAGTCATACCTATTTAACGGAAGGCAGTTTGTTTCGTATAAGGGTTACAACTCTAAGGAATTTACTTGCACATCGGGGGTATCGCATGTATCAAATACTGGCCCACTACTTTTCACATTATTTACAAGTGACTTGTGTGATACTTTCAACTGTAACAAACTTCTTAATACTGACGATTTAAAAATGTTCCTATCTATTACAAGTATGGGAGACTTGCAACTTTACAGATGGAATTGAATAATATTCAAACTTGTGACAAATAAACAAACTTGATTTGAATGTAAAAAAGTGTAGCGTAGTAAGTATTACCAGAAGAAAAAGTCCGTTTGTCTTGGACTACACAATAGGCGATAAGGTAAAACGAAAGATCTGGGAGTTGTTTTTGACTCATTTTTGTCTTTTGTTGAGCATACCTTGATAATGGTTAAAGCCACATTAAAGGCGTAAGAAACTGTCGATCTTTCACTAATGTTAAGGCTCTTCCAATAACGTATTTGATTTTTGTCCGCTCAAAATTAGAATTATGTGTTACTCATCTGGCATCTCCATTACTCCAAACATAAAATAGCAATTGAGAAAAAACCACGATTCTTTTTTAAACTACTGGCTTAAACGACTGATGGTATGTATTTTCCTAGGAATATACTTTATGAGCATCTTACTTTTATATTTGAATTAGAAAGTCTGGTTCTAACACAAAAATGTAATTTTTAACGATTTTGAATAACATTTTACACAATAATTTAAACCTTCCATTATGAGATTAGATAGAACTAATTTGCTTCTGAAGTCGCCAGTATTAACTATGTGTAAAAATTTTAATTCAATTCCTGCTCACTGTAATATAAATTTTGACAGTATCCTAAAAATACTGAATTGCGTTCGTTTGTACTTGGACAGAGATGTCACATAAATGGACTATCCTTTTCTTAATATGTCTGGAATTTAACTTTCTTTATATATTTATTGTAAGTGTCCGCTTGATATGTTTTTGCCAAGAGGTTAAGCGTATCGATGCTCTACATAATGTCAAGAATCGTATATTATTTTTCTTTCTGTAATCTATTGTACTTTCGTAATTTTTTGTTTAACACAATTATTGTTTATATTTTAAATCCATTAATTTTTCCGTACCTTGGATTATTACAAACTCTTTCGCTAACCATAATGCCAGTGCTCCCCGCTTTCAGTCTTCCTTCTTCACTGAACAAACATCCTGAAGCGCATTCGCTGTAAGGCTTCCACCTACCCCAACCTCTGTTCGTCTGTCCCAACCGCAAACTAGCAGATTGTTGAGTGAATGCAGCATTTGTTTGAGATATGACAGACTTGCCGACACAGCGACCACCTCGACACCACTAAAAACATTTCAAGGTACGTATAAAACATGATCTTTGTTACCTGATAATATTCGGATATGATGTCCAAAATGCACCCATTTTTTCCAATTAGACTCCGAGCTTGAGAATATACCTAACGAGATTTCCCTGACATTGAATTAATCGTTCGACACTTTCTCCGAATTTTAAGTTGCCCTTTATTTCTGGGATTATTTCATATAAACAGGTTTTGTTTTGAATAAAAAATTAAGGCGCATAACGCTTCTCTGTCCGAAACTAGCCTTAGATGTCTGGAGGAGTTTAGAACGAGTGAATAAACAGGTAAAAACGTCAAAAAAAGCTATAAATTTTGAGTTTCGCCAGAGAGATTTAGAGATAGTTTTTTGAGATTTTAGAAATTAACACTTACCAAGTTTAGTCCTCCAGAACTACCCCCAAGCGATTCACAAGAATGAAAGGGGTAGAAGCCATGCGTCTGCCTAATCATTTTTTTATCAAGCAGGCGCGAATGCAGAAGCCTAAATGCCGGGAGACCGCGACGGCTATGATAATCTCAAAGAAATTTTGTTTGTCCGATTTTTAAACTGCCTAAGGTTAGTAGAACTGGGAAAAGCTTCCTCTTGTAGATTGTTCCACAATCTCGACACCCTCGGGACAAAGGAGCAGTCGTCTCGGCAAGTTCTGGATGTACGAAGTCCGACACTGTTAGGATGGGAGGCCAAAGTCAGGCGGATCTGTCTGGCAGGCACATGGCGCAGCGGCGTCATGGAAGAGATCTCTGAGGAGCAAAGCCCGTTGGTGTAGCGGTAGAAGTGAGCTAGATCGCCGACGGCCCGCCGCGCGCCGGTGCGAAAGAGTTCCGAGACTGTCTGTTAGAGAAGAGTCATTGATCAGTTGTACAGCTCCTCTGGGCAGCATCGAGTATAAATAATGTAGTCGGGTCGGCAACACCCCAAACGTGTGAGCAATACTCAAGGCTAGGACTTATCTGGGCCTTGTATAGAGTGAGCAGGTCATGTGGAGAAAAGTATTTCTTTGCCATAAGCCTAGCTTTTTCCCAGCAGCTGCCGCTATTGGCGAGATGTGTTCGGGCCAGATCAGGTTCTCAGTATTCTGGACTCTAACCAGCCGAAATGAATGGCAGAACTAGGCCATCCATCGAAACCGGATGAGCGCTAGGACCCTTTTTGTTTGTCAAGGTGAAGTACTGTGATTTGGAAGCATTAAACTGTACAAGATTGTTGCGTCCCTGAGCAGTAATATCATCCAGGTCTCGCTAGTCTCCTTTTTTCCAGCTCAGCGGCAGAGATCGGCTTGTCACCCTGAATTGAGATCAAGAGCAGAACCCGTTAATTACGACCGTTATCTTGCGGTCAGAGATTAAAGTCAGTCACCCATCTGCAGAGCTTTTCTGGGAGGCCAGAGGATGGAGGTTTGCTTAAGAGGGTAGCGTGCCACAGCTGATCAAACGCTTTCGTGATGTCAAGACCATCGACATGAGCCTCACCATAAGACGGATGAGTTTACTCCACAATTGCTAGTAGGTCCCCTGTGGATTGCTGGTGCCGGAAACCATACTACCTGTCGCGAATAGAGCTATAGGCCTGTAGTTGTAAGGGTCGGTCTTAGATCTTTTTTTGAGATGGGTTGGACATGAGCAAATTTTCAGTTTCCTGGGAACGTGCCGGATTCATAAAATATGGCAGAAATCAAGTCCGGACCAATAGATTTGTTGATGTCGAACGGCAAGCGCAGAAGGATCGACTGTCATTGCGCTGCGACATTACCCTGTGCCTAACTTTTATATTGTGCTGGTTTTTATCATTGCGAACCACTTCTTTATATTTGTTTCTAGACTCGAAGTCGGCTTGTCCGTTCTCTACAGTGGGGTTTTGTAAGAAGGTTCTGTGTGCTATGATATTCTGCTGGCGAGCAGTGTCACACGATTTGCCGAACCAACCGTTGAACCATGGTTTAGGCACTTTCACTTTATGAGGGATGTTTCCTCCATTCCGATGTGGATAATTTCGGTTATCGAAGAACAGACAGCCGACGCATCTGCGTCAGCGAAACAGATATCTCTCCAAGGAAAGGCAGAGAAGGAGGCTCTGAGCCCCTGCCACAGCAGGTTCTGACCGAAACTTAATCTCCACAACACCATGGTCTGAGTTACCCAGGGGGGACAAGACAGCACTGTTGTGAGAGTCAGGATGCGTGGTCAGAAAGAGATCTAGCAGACTACTGGCATGTGACGAGGGGAAAAAAGTAGTCCTCGTCACTAACTGGGTCAGCCCTTGAGTAAGAACGAACGCTTCAACTGAACTGGATGCTGCATCGGTCTTGTTTGAGCCCAACCAAAGCTCATCATGGGCTTAGAAATCACCGAGGAGAACTAACTCTGAAGCGGAGTGATTGATGTAAAGGGAGTCGATATTGACGGCGAGGTATTAAAGTAGGTCATCCCAGTTATGGTCCGAGGGAGAGCGATAAAGACAGCTAATAAATTTGGGGGATGTTTTTGAGTTGAGGCGAAGCCACAGAATATCCTTGCGGTCTAAAAGGAGACATATCTGGAGCAGGAAAAACTGCTGCGGACAAAAGCCACAACTCCCCTGTTCTTTCTCAGATTGGAGTGCACCTCGTAATTTGGGAAGCTAAGATGGTTAATCAGCGCAGACTCCGAGATTTTTGTCTCCGCCAAGGAAAGCATTGCGGAACGATTGGATTGTAGGTAGTGATGAACAGCATCAATGTTGCTGTTAATCCCGCATATGTTCGTGAATCAAATTTTATCGTTGATGTTGTTCCCTCGAGTCCCCCCTCCGCCCGGAAATTCTGAGAGTGAAGTGAGTTTACGTCCGGAATTCTTAGTACACGAGGGATCCATCATCATTAATTTCTTTGTTGGGGAAGATAAACGACTGCGTAGCTTAGGTGTGGAAACATGCGGACATTTATAAGGCACCCAAGCTAGCGGGTGGTACGGCCTCGGTCGGATGGTCCCTGTCAACCACCGTCTTCTAGCGTGTTGATGATATTAAATGGACCTAAAGTGGCCCTTCTCTTGGTCGGGTCAGCGTCCCTAGACCTGCTGCGTTCGCCACGGCTCAAGGAGCCCGGTCTACCCAATCAAGCTTTTCTACAGTTGTTTTTGTTTTTACTTACATTTTCACCTTTTCGCCCCTTTGAGACAAACTTCGTGTGCGTTAGTTTTTATCCAAACCAATTAAATTATATGAAATTAGGGCGAACTTAAAATTCCAATAAGGTGTCGAGCTTTAGTCTAGATTTTGGGGTCAATTCAACTCCTAAATAGGGATAGTGTTTGAATATTTTCAAAAAAATAAAAAGTGTTGTCTCGTTTATTCTCATGGTGGGAATCTAATGCGCAGAAGCAGGCAAAGAAACAGTTTTTTAAGGGGTTACTCTTTGATCTTACCATGCCGCTGCCACACATCGTTCCTTCTAAAGCAGGGTGCGAAGTCCAAGTATATCGTTCTCTTTCACAGTGCAAATCTCTGCAGACATCATTCAGAGGTTGTTGAGTAGAGTGCTTGCTACCTCCTCCGTATTTCAGCATACCTGAAATTTGTAATATCTGTTAATGGTTTTTAGCATCTGACGTGTATCATAATTTAAATGTTAATATTTAAACAACAGTAGTATTAGTAATAGTAGTAGTACAGTCTGCGAAAACCGAAATTTCCCTAATTTTGGTCTGAAAAAGAGGGTTGAAGTCGCCTTAAGCTAATCTCAAAATACTCTTTAAAGTCCTCTAGAGCAAGGTTTCAATCTTTATTTACGACCTCAAAAATTTAGATTTTCAACCGAGATTTTAAGCATTGAATATACCCGTAAAACTAATCACAAGTTCACACATCAAATCAGAAGTTTTTGTAGGAACATTTTTGGATCATTCCCAACAAAACAGGCGTCTATTAACCTTTCTCTAAAGCTGACCGTTTTCGAGTTAAAAGCGGCAGAATGTCTGAAAAGCCCTAAAAATTGGTATATTCAATGCAAAAAACTCGATTCAAAACTATAATTTTTTGGGCTGTCAAGTTTAAACCTTGCTATACAGGACCCCGAAGAATCTTTTGAAAGCACTTGATTCTAAATTGATTTTTAACCTTGTTTGTTAGGCTAATTTTTTTGTTTTTGCAGACTGTACATTACATAGCTAGTTTGCTAATGAACCAATAATGGCCTTCTGAAACCAGGTATGTATAGAATTTTTAACTACTAACACACCCGCAGAATATTCAATTGTACACCACGATCATAATGTTTCCGAATCCTTTTACAAATATCACAGTATAGGGCCAGAACAATCTTTCTGGCTAATATTTGTTAAATGAGTTTATTTTACGCGCACGTAGAGCAGCACAGGTTCTAGCACAGAAAACACCAATGTAACTCGATCTGTCGATGGGGTCGCCTCAGCCAGAAGCAACAACAGACTACGAGGCACTTTATTCTTGTAGTTCGGAAGTTACTGCTCGAATTACAATGTAATCTTGACAAAAAGGTACTGCTATGCTTTCACCAATGGTGGTACCGCAATTAATAAAAAGGGAAATATGTAGAACGATAATAAACCTAATATTTTGAATGTTTTCGTAGTTGCTGATAGTTCATGGGCGTCAACACCTGAAAAATGCGAATATTTGTTATTTGATCAACGCTTAGAATTTCTGTGTAGCTAAAATGTTTCTGAGCAGTATTTGTTCAATTTGTTAATCTAATTGTTTCCACTTTTTTCGATTCATTTCTCATATAATTCTCGTCAGGGCTGTTGGTCTTCACTAGGCCATCGGAGCGAGTATGTTATATTTAATCCTAACTGAAGCAGTGAGTTACTAGTTTTCATTGTTTCGCTTGATTAGCACAGTCACCGATTTGTTCTGGACTGGTCCATCCAAGGCGAGTAAGGTTCAAATGTCTTCCTTTTGCTAACATTAAAAACCGTTTGCATATATCAGGTCGCTTATTGGTGTATTCAAGAATTAGAATTTCATAAGGAAGTTTACCCAAACTTACTCATTTCTCAATTGTTCTGAAATACTATATTTCGAAATTTAATATTTAGTAGTCAAACTGATACAATGAAACTGACAAGATACCATTTCAAGTGACGTTATTCACCTAGGTGTTTTTTTTTCTTTCATTATCTAGGGATACAAATGCGATTTCGAAAATAAGGTATTGCGGTCAGTAATGGCAATTTCTTGAGTAGTGAAAGAAATGAACCTTACATTTATCCAGTTATGGCAGACCTTTCCAAAGTACAAACAATAAAACACCTATACTGAATTTTAGTCTAAAGATTGATTGTTTTATTGTTGTCTTGTCGGCGACAGTATTTCAAATTCGGTCCGAACTGTTGTTGCTGGCTTAAAAATTCTTTCATGTTAACCAATGAGAAAAGTATAAAATGCTCACATTGCTGATTGGCATCAAATCGTTCTCCTGGTAAAGCTCCTTCAGCTGTATGATCAAGCTGCCCAGCAGAGCTTCCATGGTCCAGTAAGCATCTTGATTGAGGCGTGCTATAATCAAAATGACCAGAAAAATTAAAATGACTTTAACTTTACGCTTTTACAACATTTTCTTACTATTACTATTAATCTTTTTTCATGTAGGGATCTTCATTTTAGGCAAATTGATGTCATCTGCGTATTTGAAATACTTACTCTAGGAACTTTTGAAGATATCTCTTGCTGCAAGCGGACCAAGTAATTTTGCCACTTCCTAATGTAGGAGACATGATAAAGCTGCTTGGATCACAGTCGTTGTCCGCTAGAGGTCCATCGTGCCTCATTCCTAAACTAGAGTTTAAAATATCCCTATTATCGAAACCAAATAAACAGCAATACAGAAATACAAGTGAGACATCTCAAAAGCGTGCCGTAAAAACTGCAATTTGTAATAACATTCAATAGTGTTCGAAGCGCGCATGGTTAGACTTCGCCGGAATAATGAAGACCTAATTTGTTTATTAGTTTTGTTATTTTATAGATTAACAGGAATTGAATGAGAGGATGTAGTAGACTTCTGTTCGAGAAATTCGTATATAGGGTCCCATAGCGTTTTTCTGTGGGTAAACCAATTAGAGTCATTTCATGGGTCACTATACAGTGTGTCCCAGATTCGCTTGTCTATACAGGGATATCGGCTCCTGTTGTACCTACAGCAAAGCTTAAATGGGGATAGTTTAAGAGTGTGAATTCGATAGCCGGTTTCACATTTACTATCGGTCAATTGGTTTTGGAAATATCGGCGAAAAACCGAAAGTGTCGAATTTTGTTCTTTGTCAGTAAATCCGAAACGGTTAATTTGACAGCTGTAAAAATGTACCATTTTTCCGACATTTTTAAGGCAAATAGGAAAGCGTATATGAATGACATGTCTCAATCGTCTTTTGTTTTCCCGCAACCTGCCTCAACTTTCATTTTTCTTATGGTTGCCTAATTGGATTTTTTGATTTTTAAAAGAGCGTGAAATTTCCAACTTAGTGATGTCTCATAAGTGTATAAAAGCTTGGAGTACTATCGAAATATCACGCGTAATGTTATGAATTATTTTTTTTCTAAGGAGTCCATGATTTGTTTGCCAGAAAATAAAATTAATAAAGTAATAAATAAGTATTTAAATTGTGTTTTAATAAGTAGTAGGTACACTTTCTCTCATTGAAATAATAAATCTGGCAAACAAATTGTCAAAACCTGTTAAAATGGCCGGAAATACATGTTAGCGCTGTACTTGCAGTCACACAGAAACGCCGACATTACCTCAGCAAGGGTACTTGGAAATGTACCCCGAACGGCGGCAGTCTTATAAAACCCAATTTAGAAAAATAGTAGATATTTAATTTAATGAATCATGGGGCATTCGAACAACCTAGAAGCGGATAGAATATTGAAAATGAAAATCGTAACAGAAACATCTTACAAGCTGTCAACCAAATGGCTAGTGCATGAGTAAGAACTATTGAACGAGAAATTGGTGTGTCAATATCGACAGTACAGAGAGAGTAGAATAAAAATAAGTACCATCCAGACCAACCTACAATAGTTCAAGGACTCAAGGAAACTGATTTTCCAAGTCGATTGCGCTTCTGGTAGTGGTATACTAGGAAGTCTAATGAAAATCCCCATTTCATGTCATGTGGTCCAATGAAAGTAGGTTTACGAATTGTGCAATTTTTAATAAACATAACACTCATCATTGGGCTGTGGAAAACCCTCACGAAAAGGCAGAGAGACGTTTATAGACCAAATTTGGAACTTACGTTTGGTGTAGGGTTATTGGCAATTTAGTCTAACTTACCTTTTTTAATTGGGCACCTATTTGAAATTAGGTATTATTCATTTCAAGAAATCGACTTATAGGACCATTTTTATTTGACTACAACCTGAACGGACAGAGATACGTAGAGCTTTTGCGAAACTAGGTTGTGCCGGCTTTACGAGCTAGTCTAACCGAAGATGAGTTTAGAAGAACCTGGATCCAGGATGGATGTCCGGCTCACAACACCATTCAACTCAGAAACTTCTTAAGAGAGCAGTTTAATGAATGGATAATTTTTATTATACTCCAACTACCACGAAGGCCTAAGGCCTAAACACCCATGGGGCACCGTGGAGCTATAGGGGGGATACAGGAGAAAGAGGGAACGCTACACTCTGGCGAGGGAACACGTGTGCATGCAACATGCATACATTCTGGCCCCGCCTACGAGATCCGCCGGGTGGTACCTCTGCGTTCGACAGTCAGAGACCGTCTACCACCTACGGACAATCACAACATCCATAGCCAAGAGAAATTTCTCCTACTGCGGCCACCGCTGCTGCCTTGCATTAAATGGTTCAATATCTTGGCTTCCTAGGTCCCCTGACCTTTAACCCTTGGAGTTCCACCTCTGGGGTCACACAAAGAATGAGCTATAAATATGATCCTCCCGTGACCATAGAAATCCTGAGACAAAGAATTTTGAGCACCGTTAGAAACATGAACAGAAATACACTAGCTAAGGTTGTCAAAAAAGTCTGGATGCAAATGTACCGTTATTTTGCAACTCTGTAAATTAATACCCACTTACATAATTAGATTTTACATTACAATTTTGTAAAATGTTTGTTCAAGTGTAAAATAAATTTACAACGATTATTCTGACTTATTTTTTTTTTAACACACTCATAGTTGGGAATTTGTCCCAAAACATTTGAACTGTTCAGAAGTCAATATTAACGTTAATATTCGATTGAAAATTCAAGGTGTGTATGTGTTTTTTATGCCTTACTCATTAATGTTATTTTCCGACAAATAAATTATACATAACATTACGTGTGATGATATTTCGCTGTAGATCATTAGATTGAAAATTTTGCACTTTTTTCAAAAATAAAAAAATCCAATAAGGCGGACATGAGAAAAATGAAAGTTGGAGCGGGTTACTGGAAAACAAAAGACGATTGAGGCATGTCATACATGCTATGTTATTTTTCCTAAAAAATGTCCGAATAGTGTCACATTTTGACAGCTGTCAAATTAACCGTTTTGTATTTACTGCCAAAAAAAATCCGCCAATTTCGATTTTTCGCTGATATTTTCAAAACCAATTGACCGGTCGCAAATCTGAAGCCGGCTATCGGATGCACTAAGTTTCCTCTAAAAACCCTCCCTATTTAACCTTTGCCTTAGGTAAAACAGGAGCCGAGACACCTGTATAGAAAAGCGAATCTGGGACACACTGTATGTGTAGGGTGTCCCAGAAGTCGACGTCAAGCCGGAAACGGGGGATGGGCCAAGTCGTAATAGTTCAGAAAAATATAAAAAAAATCGTGCACTTTTCAAATTATAAGCTTTATAAAATAGAAATTCGGCAAAACATACACCTTGAGATGACCTTTTAGTTCCCATTACCACAAATTCCAATTTTTTCTTAGACGGAGTGGCAGACAGTGTCATTCTACGTATTGACAGCGAGACAGATACTAACGCCATCAATCAGTGAACGTATTATATGTTCAAACTGCCTTCCTTCAGCAGCAATGCAAGCTTGACGTCTTAAAGATGATCGGTACGGAAAACCTATAAGACGTCAAAAAACCTATAAAATGTCATTTGGCCGACTAGGTATTTTTCAGGATGCAAACAGTCGTTCCATGTTTGCTCACTAGGATCGTTGTGAGCACTGACTTAACTACACGCATTGTTGGTCTATAGTTTTCATCTCTAAGAAGAAAGTCGGTTGAATAGCAAAATCGCATCTTAATGATTATGCGTATCGGTCTGCATGTGTATAAAATCAGCGATATTTGGTGTGTGAGAAAATCATTACTAAATATGCTGCCAACGATGTATATCTAGTACCTGTGCCCGACGAGTTATTTGTGTTGTGCTTTCTGAAGAGAGGTTGTGTTCAAAGTTATAAATTACAAAAGAGTTTGAGGAGAATTACGGGAAGTCACCACCGCGCCCGCGTCGTGTTTAATTACTGTTAGCATGTACGACTATATGGCTTGTAATTCGACAGTGTACCGTTAATACATTTTTAAAATTCAGCAAATTTGCATTTGTAATTTCCATAATGGATAAAAAAAGTAGATGCGCAATTAATTTCGAGCTTTGATTCTCAAGTAAGTGTATTTGAGAGTGAGACAAGAATCAAATGGAATTATCATCAACACATACCTACAACTTACAGCTTAGACCTCCAGTAATGCCATCTCTGAAGCAGACTTTACGTCACATCAGAGCCAAACATTGATAGCTGAAGCCTCTCATGACGTTTAGGCAACACGTACAACTACAAAACGAGTGCCCAACGTGTCCATCAGCTAGTGCTAAGTTAACATTTTGTAGAAAAACCTAAATAATGTCAATAAAACAGTCTAACGTCAGATAATCAATAAAATGTCACTTTGCAAGATACGAGTACGTAATAGCCGTGAGAGTTATCAGGCTGACGAATCTACCACTATCAACAAATTCAGCTCTTTCCGTAGCTCAGCTAAATTTTCGATTGTCTTTGAGTATACTTTTCCTCTCACGCTCCCCAGTAACAAAGATCGAGTGGATTCAAGTCAGGTCAACGGGCTGTCCACGAAATTGAAACAAACCGCCATATCCACCATATTTGCTAGGGTATTCCGCAACAAGATATTCTCTAGCAGAACGGGCATAGTGCGCCAGGCACCCGTATTGCTGGTACATCATACCATATCATGTCTGTAAATGCTTAGTGGGACGTCTTCCAATAAATTTGATTTTGTAAAAAGTCTAAATGAATTTCGCCATTCACGTGTTTACTTTACAATGATACTGTGATCTATCTTGCCTCATCAAATGTAGATTTTCTACATGCCACTCGCGTAAGTTGTATGGATTCATAAATTTTTCTCTAAAAATCGCAGATCTTTTCGATGTCTCTGTAATATTGTTTGGAAGATAATCCCGGGGTTGTAGAGATTGTTCTCGCTGTACGTGGTACGGGTGAAGCTTGTTCTTTCGTAAGATTCGGTGGACTCTACTTTTGGGCACTCCTTGCTTGCTTCTATTTGAGGTGCTGAAGTACTCGGCCCTTCTACGACTGCTTGTAGTACGACGCACGCGTAAGGAAAAGAAATTCTTCCTTCACCACGTGCTAGATTTCAGAACCGTCCCTCGAAGAGTAAATGGTGCACATTCATAAAAACTCGGTGATCGGGATGACGAGCACCTTTCACGATAAAGCCTAGCTGCAGCTCTAGCACTGCATGTACATTCTCCATAAATGAGGTCCATGTTGGCGTTTTCCCATACGGTGAACGCAGACATAGTGGCGCTACACAATCTTGAATTAATAAAAGTTGATTACTCTCGGTCTTGCTGTGACTACGTACAATGACTCTGTCCGTCACTCCGTCTAAGAAAAAATTGAATATCGCAGCAATGGGAACTAAAAGATCATTACAAGTTGTGGATTTTACCCATTTTTTAGATTTTTTAAGGCCTTGAATTTGAAAGGTGCACGACTTTGATTTTCCGGCCTGTATAGTTATGACTTATGACTCTCGAGCAATAAAACCTACTTATGGCCAATTTCATGGGCGACGACATAGACGCTCTCGAAGTGTCTTCCCTCGTTCACAGTGCAGCTACTCGTCGCCGTGCACATGCCAGCTACTGGTGCCAAACCTGGAAAAATTCAAATTTACAAGATGAAAATCAAAATTACTAATTCAGTATCTGCAATGCAGGAGTATAAAGTAAACTCCAGTTTAAAGTTAGTAGGTTTGAAGTCTTGGTGGACAAATGGAAAATTAACACTCCTCCAATGCTACTTTTAACTGTTCCCAAAAGGACCTAGAAGCTAATAGATGGAAGAATGAATTTAAATAATCTATGTTTTGTACCCTTAAACATTTTCTGACTATGCCTTATCAAGAATAACTCCAGAAAAGTAAAATATTTGGACATGTCAAAATGCAAACCCTTTCTCAGCAAAGTATTTTCTTAATTCCACTGAAAAATGAGCCTTTTGGGTAGACTTAATTAACGAAGAGTGATATGACGTTAATCTATAATAAGTGAACAATCTCCCTATAGATAAAAAGACTATGATGGTTAATCTTACCGACAACTTGATTTGAGATTTTCCCATGTTTTCCTCTGACGTACAAATCCAGTCCGGTTAAAATCAGAGCATGATCCCAGTGCAATGGTTCTCTATCACCAGCAGGATTCTTAGTTCGTTGCCAATTGCAAAAATTAGATAAAAATCTGTCTATGTCAGGAGGTCTCAGCAACCCGGGTACATCTTCTTTCATGATTTCCAGTCGTTTTAGGACAAAGTTCACTGGTCTACCCAGGCTTGGATCATGATACAGGAGTTGCACCTGAAAAATGATTTATATCATATTGCATTTTGATATATTCAGTCTACATTATTAAATGTCCTATGCTTCAATGATATACTTGTAAATTTAGTGATAAAGATGGGTAATTTTACCAGGGTAGCAAAACTAAATAAACGGGGCAACGTATGCAATTAAATACTGCGAAACGTATATCATCCACGTGCAATGGATTTATTATCTGATAAATACTTTTTGCCAAGTAGTAGTGTGGTTCAAGTAACTGAATTTTATCTTTGGAACTAAAGTGTATCTAACGAAGCTACAAAGTAATCGTAAACAGTGGTTGATTCGTGATCAACGCGTGATCGGTAGCCATGGCGCTCTGTCGGCCTCTTCCTGATTGGCTTGTAGCGACGAGCCTCCAGACAAAGTCGCACGGTTGCCACGCTCGGCAAGTTTTCGCCAGAGTGGTTGATCACATTCGCATGGATCACAAATCAATCTGTTGGTGCAATACGTGCAATAACTGTTGTAAAGGACATTATATAACAATAAATGGCATCACAAAGGTATATTCCAATTTGATCTGCAGCAAATTATGAACGGCATATACAGAGATGCGAAAACAAGCTCAAAAAGGTGAATAAAATTTTTGTGCAATCTTTATAGTTAAATTTTTCCTAAGAGATAGCATCAGTGAGGGAATTTTTTTCTATTGTCTTATTTTTCACATTAATGCGATGTCGAGGTATGTGGCCCTATCGCAATTGAAAATAAGGTTTCGATAATCCTTCCATAAAGTTTCGATGAGTACATCTGAAATAACCTTGAGATATTCTTCAGGGAAATACAAAAATCTCCTTTTGTGTTTTTTTGTGCAGATTTATCTATTAAAATCCTATCCGCAATCTATTTTCCGTGCACACACCTTCAACCGAATGTATGCCATATATGATATTACCGTTTCCAACTTTCACCAAGGTTAATAGGAACCATAATAGCTCCCTACCCTTCCCTCCTATAAGAATATCGATTTGTAGCCTCACATTTCAAGGTTAGACTTCTTGTAATGTTTCTGTTCAACATTCGGCGATTTCTGACAATTTTCCCAATAAAACATGATCATTGTGACATTAAGCCTGGCAACGCTGCATAGTAGAGGGAACTCTCAGCGTCACGTTGATGGTTCGTCACCACGCACAGGATTGTAATCAGTTACGGATACCCGTTTATGAGCGCGAACGTTTTATGCACGTCTTGACTTGATTTTTCTTGCGGAAATTTAATATTAGTCTAAAATGTCTGACACAGATACAGCTGATGAAGTGGTTGAAATCAGCTTAACGCCACCCAGCAAAAGGGCTAAAAAGCTTCATCTTAGCGCAGGTGAAAAACAAATTATTCTAAATATCTACAAGAACCAGATGCAAGAGAATAGTGGATTGGCTATAGAAAATATCGTATGTAAGGTTGCTGAAATTTCTGAAGTAGGTCGATCAAGTGTTTACAAAATCTTGAAGGAATATAGACAAAATCACTCACTATCTGAGCCAAAAACATATCCAGCGAGAAAAAAAATCATCGAAAAAATAGATGACTTTGACAAAAGTGCCATTAGAAGAAAAGTACATCACTTTTTCTTCAGGAATGAAATACCTACAATAGATAAAATATTGAAGCAAGTGAATGATGATGAGGACCTGCCAAATTTTAAAAAATCTACGTTCCATAAGCTGTTGAAAGAACTAGACTTTCGATTTTTGAAAAGAGGAAGGAATAGTTTATTGATAGAAAAGGAGGAAATTGTTATCTGGAGGAGAGAATACCTTAGAAAAATTAGGCAATTCCGCGCTGAAGGAAGAAAAATTTATTATTTAGACGAAACATGGGTGAACGCGGGGCATACGCAGGGAAAGGTTTGGGTAGACAGATCTGTGAGGTCCTCAAGACAGGCTTTTTTAGATGGCCTTTCGACGGGATTGAAAAATCCTGCAGGTAAGTTTCGAAGTATATGAACTTTTTTGGATGCAGATTATTCATTTTCTGATCGAATCAATGATTTGGAAGCTCCGAACTCAGTTTTGCTATCTCATCCAAGTTTCTGAGTATTTCCTTCACCCAAAAACTAATCTACGACAATATCCTACACTAACCTAAAAAGAGTAAGTTGCTTGATTTCGTCATTTAGTGCGCTCGCTGAGAAGTAAAATAACTAATTACTTTCAGGCAAGGGAAAACGCCTGATCATTTGCCACATACGTAGCGTAGATGGATTTGTTCCTGAAGCATTGTGGGTATTTGAATCCAAAAAAACTGGAGACTATCACGAAGAAATGGATGGTAACTCATTTGAAAATTGGTTCAAAAAAATTTTGCCGACACTTGATGATAACGCAATTATTGTGATGGATAATGCCCCGTACAACTCCAGAAAATTGGAAAAAATTCCAACAATGGCCACCAAAAAGGCAAACATTCAACAGTGGCTTGTCTCAAAGAAGATCGACTTCGACCAAACAATGGTCAAAGCTGAGCTCATAAATATAGTCAAGCGACATAAGTATAAATATGATTTAAAAATTGTTGACGAAATGGCCAAAAACCAAAATAAAACGATTCTCAGGCTGCCTCCCTATCACTGCGAACTGAATCCTATCGAGTTGATTTGGGCTGACATCAAGCAATACGTGGCGTCAAATAACAGCACTTTTAAGTTTTCTGACCTTAAAAAACTGTTTGATGTTGCTGTCGATAGAATTACGCCAGCAAAATGGAGAACATGTATTGACCATGTCCAAGAGAAGGTTGAAACCAAAATGTGGGATATGGACAATATCATTGACACCCAAGTTGAACCCCTTATAATTGACATCAACAATTCTGATGATTCAAGCTCCTCGGAATACAGCATATAAATCGATTGATACCATTAAGAATGGCAGTTTAACGGGCTTTTTGGCAAGACAGGTAAGTTCATTATAGACTGCAATTAAAGTGTAAGTTTCTAGTTATTAATGTGGAAATTCCAAATTTATAATTACAAAAAATTAGGGTTAATTTAGGAGTTCCAAAGCGTAATAGTACCATTTTGACCTTCTTCCTATTTCTCATGTAAATTTTAATAGCAATCAAACTAACAAACTTTATGGAGTCTGTAATAAACTTTTGTACTACTACTACTACGTCTGTAGTTTCTATTTGCTCAAAAAAATTTGCTCTGCATTGTGAATAGAAGGTTTATTTGTAAATATTATTGGGTATATATGTAAGTTAATAATAAAATATGAACAATTTCAATTGAGATGGTCCACAAGTTTTTTTCGTGTGCGTTTTAGTAACATTTTGCTGAAATGGTAAATACAGAATTTTTTGCACTGATTCCTAATGTCGAAATATGATTAGAAAGGCGTGGTATATTCCTGATAATTTACTATGCTTTTGATGGAATTTACAGCAACACATATCTTGTACGACATTTTTTGATAGATCAGTCACAATAGCTTGATACGGCCCTCTAGCGTCTCCTACGGTTAAGTTCTTGATCACGTGCAATACGGGTGTATATGTTTGATTTTACTTTGTTTCTTCGATGGATACAGTTTAGTCTTGAGCTGCTAGAAACAGTCAAACATTGTAACGATTGTAACAAGAATAATAATATAATCTTCTTGATTTTTCAGAGTTTTTATGAAATAGGTTTGATCATTCTAATCTATTAAAATAAGCTCTATCAACACGACGACTTTTTTGACAGTTCGTTTGGTAAACTTAATTCACACAATCTAGATCTCTAATTCTATACTGTAAGTGTTCAATCCTTCCATCCCAACTTGGTAATGCCCATTCAAAAGTCATCCGCCCTGAAATACACAATATTGCGGAACTTCTACAGTTCACTCCAGACTAGAGTTAAATTGAGTTTGGAGTATGCAAAGTATATAAAATTCTAGTTTAAAGTTTGAGCAAATCGGTTACGTACACGTGTAGATGTGACATTACGTAGCACAGATCGAGATAATTCTAGAAAGAAAGCCATATTTCTCATAAATTATCCAGAATTCAACTCGTTCAATGTTGGGAATGCAAAACAAAATAGATGACTAGAAAGTGATATTCAGCGGCTTAAAAGATCTATTTCATCGCTTAGGGAATACAAAATATGCGAACTTACACATATACACATACATATATACTTACAGCATTCACCATTGCTAAAACGAATCTTATGACCTCCCTTTCAGTTTCAGAAGGATAATTCGTCTTCATATGATCGAAAAGATCCTTATCTACAAAAACGGCAGTTTCTACGAAAGCTGGCGCACCATCTGGAAATGTTTCTCTTTTCTTCCTTTTTATTCTACTATGTACAAGTGTGTCTCTCTTTCTTCTATCTATCTTATTTCCAGAATTATAGCTAATGTCTTTGGCTTCTTCATCAGGCAGTATAGTTCGGTTAACGCCTGCACCTCTGTGATTGACAGTTTGACATCCTCCGGTATTGTTACTTACATTGTGTCTTTTCTTGATCAGTACGTGAGGGTTTGATGAATTTGTGTGGAATCTTTTTGGTAAAGGATGGATGAAGAAGTAGCTGTTGTCATTTGGGTGTAGTACTCCTCTCTGGAAAGGAAAGTAGCATAATTAGATGGTTAGATCTGTTTTATCTAAGCAATGTCTTCTTGGAGGGACTCAATATCAAGGGTATTGTAGGCTAAATGTAGGTTTTTTGGAACAAGTATAGAGTATGTACGTATACAGAAGTGAATGAGTAATCTTTAGAGCGAGGTGGTAGCTTTTCTTGAAGTGCATCGTCAGTTACAGATTTCTATTCATATTGGCTACTGCGCGTCCGATTTCTACAGAAGCTTTTAGTGAAAAGCTTTATTTCAACTCGACTCATTTAACATTTATATAGAGTATTTTGAAATTTAAGTAGTAATTTAATCTGTAGTTACCCCTATATGTATGGTATCAAGGGCAAAAAGTTATAGGCTGACCATAATGTTACATTTTACTGTGAATTTAAACAAAGTATAAAAACAAAAAACATTTAAATACATTCAATGATTTCCTTTCAATTGTGATGCGCTTTAGAAATCCTCAATTGTGCTTGCGTTTTTTTGCTCCAAGCAACAGGTGTGTGTTTTTTGAAATACCTTGTCAAATAAGCGTACCCTTATTTCTGACGGACTGTTGTCTATTATTTCCTAATTTCCAAATAAGACTTCGTAATACTGAAAATCAGAATACCTGTTGATAAATATCAGCAGGAAAAAAATGATGTCGTAATTAATAACACGACTGTACTACCTCTGAATGTAAAAGATTAGTTATTTATCCATGAGCCAGGCAGCAGCGGTGGCCGCAGTAGTAGACTCTTCGATCTCCTGATCAGTCGCCGTGGGCTGTGCGGGTTCGAGTCTCGCCCCAGGAGAAATTTTTCTCTTGACTATGGATTTTGTGATTGTCCGTAGGTGGTAGACGGTCTCTGACTGTCGAACGCGGAGGTACCACCCGGCGGATCTCGTAGGCGGAGGCAGAATGTGTGCATGTTGCATGCACACGTGTTCCCTCGCCAGAGTCCGTGTGGCGTTTCCCCTTTCCCCTGTATCCCCCTATAGCCCCACGGTACCCAATGGGTGCTTAGGCTTTAGGCCTTCGTGGTAGTTGGAGTATAAGAAATGAGTCTAAAACACTCATTGGTCGCCGCGGGCTTAAATATCTACAACCTGTTTCCAAATTTCAGAAATTAGAATGTTGTTCAGGTACAATGTAAAATGAAAATAAAAGTAGTCTGTTCAAACACCATTTGCTCAAGACAAACACGAGAACTGGACCGTCGCTTCTATTCGCTTGTCGCTACCTGCCCAGGCATTCATGCTTTTCTGGCCAAAAGGAACGCCTTCATTCGATGGATATCGCGGGTTTTGTTTTGATAAAGATCACTATAGTGACACTTTGAGTGCCACCAGCCTAGCAACGAATACATAAGGACCGTTTCTATCGCCGCCGTACTGTGATCAGCGTAGACTAATTTATACAGGGTTTGCACTTGGAGAGTCAGGACAGGCATTTTTGAGCGACGTGTTTCTGTGAGTGGTGCAAGCCGAAAATGCAGCGTTCGTTAGAGCAGAGGTACGCGATTAAATTCTGTGTGAAACTCGGTAAATCTGCGACAGATACGTTTGATATTTTCAAGCAGGCTTACCTGTTGCTTTAGCAAGAAGTGGTGTGTTTCGGTGGCACCAGGTCTTTTTGGAGGGTCGGAAAGGGGTCGCTGATGAAGACCGTGCTGGAAGACCTTCGACTTCGACAAACACCGATAATGTGACTCGTGTGCGCAAAGTTTTGAACTCAGACCGTCGACTAAGTATTCGTTTAATTGCCCAGATGTTAAATTTACCAAAATCTGTGGTTAATGACATTGTGACACAGCATTTGAGCATGCGCAAGGTGTGCGCGACGATGGTGCCAAAAGTGCTCACTGACGACCAGAAATTGCGGCGGGTGGAAGTGTGCCAAGAAAATTTGAACATGTGTGAAAGTGACCCCCAATTTTTGAATAACGTAATCACAGGTGACGAGCCGTGGATCTTTGAGTATGATCCCGAGACAAAGAGGCAATCTTCCGAGTTTCACATGACGGCGTCTCCTCGCCCAAAAAAGGGAAGAATGAGCAAATCCCAAGTGAAAACGATGCTCATTGTCTTTTTGACATCAAAGGCATCGTCCACCATGAATTTGTTCCTCCTGGACAAACCTTCAACGCCAAGTTTTACGTGGAAGTGCTCAGGAGACTCAAACGAAGGGTCAGTCGGGTCCGACAAGACAACGCGCCGGCTCACACCGCCTTTCTTGTGAACAGCTACCTGACCAAGGCCGGCATCCCAACGCTTCCGCAGCCGCCCTACAGCCCAGATGTGGCTCCGCCGGCCTTTTTTTGTTTCCTCGCCTGAAAAGGTCGATGAAAGGCAAGCATTTTGAGACGACAGAGGGGATCCAAGCAGCATGCACCGCGGCTCTCAAGGCTATTTCGGAGAATGCCTTCCGTGACGCCTTCAATGCTTGGAAATCGCGCTGGCAGCGCTGCATCGACGCAGAAGAAGCCTATTTTTAAAGTTTTTAAAGAATTGAAACGATTGGCTCAATACATTTTTTTAAATCGACTCAGTCCTATTACTTTCCTGACAAACCCTGTACATAGTGGGCGGTAAAGTCACTTTACCACCCAGGGTATATGAAAATGACAGTAGGGGACACCCGGGAATTTTATTGAATTAGTTAAATATTTTCCATTTTCTGCATGGATTCCTATATGGGGCAAATAATATTTGATATCTACGAACTGTAGTAGTAGTAGAGAAGAACTGTGGAAAAATGCCCAAGAATACTTGAAGAAAAAATGTATCATTCATAATTTTTAATCCTGCGTCCGTTTTTCCAGGATATTTTTTAGAAGACTACCTACAACTCTCAGTTCGTATTTGTGTATTTTCATTGAACTGGTTGTGTTTTCAAACATGGTAAAATTTGAATCTACGTAAGACATATTTACAAAATAACTATGCATAACATTCAAAATACTTCCCATTTTAAATATTGTGTTTAAGAAAGCTCACAGTATTTTCACTATTTTTCATAACAAATATACAAACCGTATTCCACTAACTTCTGCTACGCACATTTGATTCATGTTGATACGCGGAAATTGTAACTCGAAAATGTCATTAACACTATGAAATTATCTACGAAGGAGAAAGAATAGACTGAATTTAGATTCAATTTCATTCTTGCTTCTTGTAATGAAAGTAAGAACATTCCGATTATATAATTAAACAGAGAAAGTGATGCATAATATTTACATAAATTAGGAATAATTTGGAGCAAGTGAACTTACAATGAATATTAATTATATTAAAAGAATAAGGTATATTGTGATAAGTATATTTATTATCTAATTTTTCTACATATGAAGTGTATTGCATGCGAAAAGGCAACGTCACCATGTAACCCAACTATAAAGAGAGGGAAGAATTTATGACGGTAAATTTCATGTGGTGTGTTATTCCCTATAATTTTTCACAATACAATTATACCCTGTGACATATAAAATGCAACACCCAGAATTATTTGTTGAATTTTGATAAAAACTTGTAATTATATTTGCTACCATGGAAGTACCTATACGCTGATAAAAGACATTCCGAGCCGTAATTTTCTTGTAAAGGCTTTTTTGTCATATCAGGATCAACAATGTAAACGTTTATTTAATATTCAGTGATTTTTTGTTTTTTTTATCTGTTCCATTGTTGTTTCATTGCATTATCATGCCTAGAGTTCGCAGACGCGCTAATTTCACTCAACTTTCCGAGTTTGAGAGCGGTCGGATAATCGGGATACGTGAAGCCTAATTTTCTTTTAGAGAAATCTCTAATCGGGTGAATCGAAACGAAGCCACTGTAATGAGATGTTGTCGAGCGTAGTTCCAAGAAGGCCGAAATCGACGAGTTAGAGGTACTGGACGACAAAGGCAGACTACAGAGCAGCAGGATCGTTATTTGAGTCAACTAGTACTTAGAGATCGATTCTCCACAACAAGGGCAGTTGCGAACCAGTGGCTTGATGTCGGAAAGGCAATAACAATGGAGACAGTTTTCGCTGAATAAGGTCTTTTGGACTGTTTTCATACCGGCCCCATCTTGTACTACCTCGGACCCCTCAGCATCGTCGGCAACGATCGGTATGGAGTAGGGAGAGACTTGAATGGAATATGGAATGGAAATCAGTCGTGTTCAGCGATGAGTCCAGATCGGTTTGGGCACACATGATGGCCGTGCAAGAGTAAGGAGGAGAAGTGGTGAAAGATATATTTCATCGAACGGCATATTCATCGCACTGTGGGTGTATTGGTATACGAGTAGGGTGCCATTGCTTACGGCAGCAGATCACGATTAATGTTTATTCAAGGTAGCATGACTGCCCAGCGCTATATCCACGAAGTTTCACAGCCACACCTGCTTCCCTTTTTGCGTACGCAGTAAATCTGCTTCAGTGGCCTCCTTGATCTCCAGACCTTTCCCTCATCGAACATGTATGAGACATATGGGAAGAGGGTTGCAAAATTAACCTCACCCTCCACAAACATTGGAAGCTCTACGGAACCAAATTCAGATACAATACACCAAGAGGACATTAATCACCTAATCCAACCAATGCCGCGACGACTTAACGAATGTGTATCAAGCAGATGAGCTTCAACACATTATCAACATTAACTATTTTGTGAAAAATCGAGTTAAAATTTTAAACACTTTCTATTTATCAGTAGACCTAAAACTTGTAAAAGTAAGCTCAAGATTACAGCACTCGTAGTCCGTGTTGCAGTTTCTATGTCATTTAGTATTTATATTTGGTACTTTTGTCTGGAATGATTTCCGCTCACATATCTATCATATTATCCCTCGCAGGTTCAAGCAGGATCAACAAATCTGTCTACCGACCCCAATACTGTATGTTCTTGGTTTAAAAACAAAGAATTAAAGGTCTCTCCAAAAAAATCAGTTTTCATAACTTTTAAGTCTGAAAACAGCAATTTTTAAAGTAGCAATGTGAAACATTAT